GAAAGTGTCACTTTAACAGATTCGAGAACGACTTTTGAGCTTGCACAGATAAGCCCCATCCAATCCCAGGTGTATCAGCCTCCTGATAGGACCACAGGCACTGGCCACCATGACCAGCTAGATTTTTAGTTTTTAATTTTTCTTTCTTATTTTAAGACAGGGTCTCACTCTGCCATCTAGATTGGGTGGCTCACTGCAGCCTTGACCTCCCAAGGCTCAGGTGACCCTCCTGCCTCAGTCCCTCAAGTAACTGGTACTACAGGCGTGCACCACCACGCCCAGCTGATTTTTGTATTTTTTTGTAGAGGCAGGATTTTGCCATGTTGCCCGGGCTAGTCTTGAACTCCTGGGCTCAAGCAATCCACCTCCGCTGGCCTCCTAAAGTGGTGGGATTACAGGTGTGAGCCACTGCACCCGGCCTTACTTCTATATTTTTTTTGTTGAGTCGGCGTCTACCTATGTTGCCCAGGCTGAACTTGAAGTCCTCACCTTAATCCTCGCGCCTCAGCCCTCCAAAGTGCTGGGATTACAGTCACAAGTCAATATGCCCAGCCTGCATATTCTTTTACTCCTTAATATTGTCAGGCATGAAACACTGGTTAAAAATTAGTGAACTAAATATAACTAATTTTGTACAAAGAATAAAACTTTCTTATACCTTAATGTCAATTATTTACTCTATCATACAGAAGGTAGAGAAGATTCAGTGATTCAGTCCTTCTAATATCCAGGATCTAAAACATTTAATTAGTATGAAGAAAGAACTGGAACATATTTTGGATAGGTGCAGTTGTAGCAATATATTATGGCAGGTTATAAATTCAGTTTTCTTGTTTTCTTTTTTTTTTTTGAGACGGAGATTTACTCGTGTTGCCCAGGCTGGAGTGCAATGGAGCGATCTCAGCACACAAGAACCTCTGTCTCCCGGGTTCAAGCGATTCTCCTGCCTCAGCCTCCCAAGTAGCTGGGATTATAGGAATGTGCCACCACGCCCAGCTAATTTTGTATTTTTAGTAGAGATGGGGTTTATTCACGTTGGTCAGGCTGGTCTCGAATTTCCAACCTCAGGTGATCCACCCGCCTTGGCCTCCCAAAGTGCTGGGATTACAGGCACAACCCTCCGCGCATTGCCGGGTTTTTTTTTTTTTGAAATGGAGTCTTGCTCTGTCGCCCAGGCTGGAGTGCAGTGGTGTGATCTTGGCTCACTGAAACCTCTGCCTCCCAGGTTTAAGTGATTTTTCTGCCTTGGCCTCCCAAGTAGCTGGGATTACAGATATGAGCCACCACATCTGGCTAATTTTTTAATTTTTTGTAATTTTTTTCCCCCTTGAGATGGAGTCTTGCTCTGTGGCCCAGGCTGGAGAAAAATGGAACATTCTCGGCTCACTGCAACCTCCACCTCCCGGGTTCAAGTGAGTCTCCTGCCTCAGCCTCCTGAGTAGCTGGGATTATAGGCGCCCGCCACCACACCTGGATAATTTTTGTACTTTTAGTACAAACAAGGTTTTATCATGTGGGCCAGGCTGGTCTCGAACTCCTGAGCTCAAGAGATTCACCCATCTCGGCCTCCCAAAGTGCTGGGATTACAGGCGTGAGTCACTGCACCCAGCCCAGTTTTCTTAAGATGGAATTTGAGAATGGAAGTGAAAGTTATCTCTCAATGATGACACGTAGTAGTATCAATGCCTCCCAGGGCACTTCGAAGGACAGTGACAATGCATTAGTCTCCCATACCTCAAAGAGGACATAGCCAAACCCTTTGCCGATGCCTGTCACTTGGTCTCTCACAATCCTCACGGCCACGACACTTCCACAGTCCAGAAAGTGCTTCTCAACGGCAGATTCTGCAACTTCTGAAAACAAATTCAACCAAAATGGAAGTAAAGAGTTGGGAGCTCCTCAGAAACATGGAGATGTTTAATGATACAGCTAGTTAAGCATGGCCCCATGATAATAAGTCATTATATTGCATACTTTTTAGTACATGTGCTGCCATGGCAAACACGTTGCATGCTTTAAAATTAGTCTTAAATCAAAACATTAAATTACTACTCAGTTCTTATTTCCTTGTTATTTATTTAGTAACATTAACCGTACTTTGTTTAAACAAACTTACTATAAGGGAGATTCCCCACAAAAACCGATCTCTTGTCTCTCTGAAACAAAAAGACAGTTAATACAAATCACTCATTAGACCAGAAAATGGAAGTCATTGAAAATCCTCGCTCACTCTCCTTCCCCCAATATCTGACAGGTCACCAGTCTCCTAATTTAGCCACACATTCTGTTCTTCGATTCTGTTTCTTCTGTCTTCCCTGCTGGACTGTGTGTGGGTACCAGAGGAAGGGAGTGGCTTTTTGTCCACAGCTGGCACTGACACATGGAGTGATCAGGAACAGCCTGCTACACTGGGCGCATGCAAACTTTCTCTGTGAAGGGCCAGATAGCAAATATAGGCTTTGCAGGCCATGTGGAATCTGTTGCAACTACTCAACTCTGCCATTATACCTTGAGAACAGCCCATGGATAGTACATAAACGAATAGTTGTGGCTGTGTGTCAAAAGAAAACTTTATTAACAAGAAAAAAGCAGCAGGTAGACTTAGCTCTCTACCATAGTTTGTTGACCCTGTACTGGGTCCCCAGGTCAAGCCAGGGCTTTCATCTGGGTCGTTGTCATTTCCCCACTAAGTTGCTTTGATATGGACAGAAATGCACTCTATGTTTCCATGGCTGAACTAAGTGTCCTTCGTTCATTTCTAGGCACCTTTTTCAAGTCCAAATCTGGTCATGTCACTCTGAGTTTAAATTTCTAGAATAGCTCCTGAACAAAATCCAGACTCCTCTGCGTGAAGCACAGTCAACAAGGTCTTCATGATTTGGCCTCTACCTATTTGTCCAACAGCAACTCTTACACACCTCACCCATCTAATAATTGTATCAAGCTCTTGCCATCTCCTGAGTGAATTATTTTCTGTCCTCACCATTTATACTGTGTTTTTCTGCCCAGACATGGCCCTCAGCCTTTACAACACTTTTGGTCTACATAAGCCTTCTCTTCTTTCTTTTTTTACCCCTGCTTCTCCACAGGGTAAGTTCTATCTCCTCATCTTTCAAGACTATCATGAAATTTATTCCCCTGGAAACCTGCCTTGTCCCTTCCTCCTGGCATATCCCCAAGTCGAGTGTCCCAATCCTGAGCTGACAAATCATCCTGTGCATTGACGACAGTACTTATACAAGTGACATGACCTGTCACTCCGACCCTTTCTAACATATACTGTCAGCTCCTAGGAAGTTGAGACTATGTCTTAGAACTGTATCTCTGACAGAGTATGTACTAAAAACTGTCTAATGAATAACTGAACTTTCTAGACCTTGGTCTATAAAGTGTTAGACCAGATGATGTCTAATGTACCTACTGACCTAATTATGATTATTTGAAGAGGACTATGTTTTTGTTTCTTTTTAAGAAACAGGGTCACCCTCTGTTGCCCAGGCTGGAATGCAGTGGCATGATCACAGCTCACTGCAGCCTCAAACTTCTGGTCTCAGGTGATCCTCCCACCTCAGCCTTCTGAGTAGCTGGGACTATCAGCATGCATCATACACTTGACTAATTTTTTTTTTGTAAAGGCAGGGTCTTGCTACATTGCTCAGGCTGCTCTAACTCCTGGGCTCAAGTAATCCTCCTGCCTTGGCCTCCCAAAATGTTAGGATTACAGGCATGAGCCACTGTGCCCAGCCAGGACTACGTTTTTGAAGGGAATGTCGACCTCAGTCCTTGTGCCTCTCTTGCCATCAACTCTGTAATCACAGCGGACATAGGCTGTTTCCTTCTGTGCTTCCCTCACATTGCTGATTCCAGTCCCCTTCCAGGAAAAGCCTGGAAGGAAAGATTTCTCTCTATAAAGCTTTCGTTCTTTAAACAAATCAAGTACTACTTACAGATGAGGTCTCAGATGCGAGATCAACTCTAATACGAAATCCATCTGCAATTTGGGCCCCATTTCTATGTTACAAATACAAAGGGAAAATGGTTGTTAAAAATGAGTACTCAATGACTAAAACATCTATGCTAAAGTGAAACCAAAGAATAAACAAAGCACTCACACATACTTATACGACAATTACTCTGTTCAAACCTAAGGGATAAAATTACCTTTTCAACGCCTGTGTGGCAGCACTCTCTTCCTTAAACACAACATAGGCATTAATATTTTTCTGATCAGGATGAATTTTACGTCTACACAAAAAAAAAAAAAAAAAAAAGAAAGAAAGAAAGAAAAGAGAGACAAGGTAAAGTTTGTTAGCCTCAAAGTCACTAGAAAAAATCCAGTTTGTTTTCAACTCTTAATCAACACACGTGACAAGAATTCCTGGGTGGAAATTTCATCTCTTTGAACAAATATTTAGTAATAACTCAAAAAATAACACACAACTTAAAGATATTGATGGAGACACAACCCACACTTTCTTAAGAGTCATAACCATGAGAAAACAGATGGACCATGTATATGAATCCCTGAGAACCATACAAGAACTAAAAACTAACATCTTAGCTGCAGTCCGTATGTAACACACAAACAGTTGTGAGACGTGAGTTTTCCTCTTTACTGTAAAACACCCATATAGAAGAGTGCACAAACCACGTATAGCTGAGCGAATTAACAGCTCAATGTGCCTTGTAGCCCACTCAGAAGCCTCCCTGTGGCCCTTTCCAGTTGCACCCCTCCTTCCCTCCAAAGGCAACCACCATTCCCATTTTTATAGGAACTACTTCCCTGCACATCTTTGTGGTTTTATCAGCCAAGTGTCTATTCTTAGACATCATACTTTGATCTTGTCTATTCTTTTGACCTGATATGTCTTCTGAATCTTGTTTAATTTACAGAACTTTCTCTGGATCTCTGGATCTCACTGTTTGGCCTGCAGAACTCCCCCCAGCCTGGATTTTGTGACTGCAAGCTCATCAAGTAGTTCAACACAAACCTTTGTCCTCTATATTTCTTGTAAACTGACAGCTGCATCCAAAGGCTGGATCAGACTCAGATGTGACCCCTTTGTCACGACTGTTGGTGGGTGTTGTGTTCTTTCCAGAGAGTCATGTTATGACTGGTTTTTACCCTGTGTCAATGACTGCAGCTGGTGTTACTAAATGCCTAAACTCATTAAGTCACTAGGTTTGCAAAACGGTGATATAATTTGGTTGTGAGGAGTTAGCAAAAAGGACCTAGTAATGAACACAGATCTCTCCCTGAAGACATCAACCTACTGTTTTGAAGTAACAAAAACGCTACTACACAAATGAGTATCATCAGGAAGGGAACTGGAAAACAGTGCTTGACATGACTCATGGCATTCTGTAATAATATACTACACTAATGCTTTTGTATTGATTAAACCAGCTGATTTACTGAATGCCTAATATATACCAGACACTCAGTTAGATATTTAATGTATTTCATTTAATCTCACAACTCCAACAGGTGTTTTTTTTTTCTGATTTTATGAGTAAGGAAGCTGAGACTGAAAGAGGTACGTGACTGTGATGAAACGGCAACAAGTGGCTGGCCTAGGACTGAAACCAAGTCTAGCTGACTCTAGAGCCCTGCTCTTTCACACAACACACAGCTGCTGACAACATCCAAATCCAACACATCCTAGTGCACCCCCAGGAACAAATGCTGGAGTTCCACTTCCACCTAGAATGTAAAAAGCCAGAAAGTGCATCACTCCTGCCCTTACCAGTTAAGAAGAAACCAGATAACCCACAGCATCATAACTTTTGTTGCAGCCATCAGAGAGCTAAGTCTTGGGGAAAGCCAGCAGCTAGAAGCTGAGGACACGCCTGCTCCCTCCAACGAGAGACAGAGGAAGCACTGGCTCTACTGGCTCTATGATGGCTGAGCACAGGGGCAAAATGCTGGACACCAGACAAGCAGGAAAGATTCCCACCATGATCTCACTAAAACACTAGAGTTCAGTGTGGGCTGGGCCTGAAACAGAAGTCCTGGAGGCTGCTGACGCAGGAGTGTGCACCCATCCTCAGGATCTGCCCCAATGACCTCCACTCTGTGGGAAAGGCTGACATCGCAGCCATGGGTGCTGCAGGCCTGGAGGACGGAATGGCCAAAGTGTGGGAAAGGCACAAAGCCCCACCTGGATTCTTCTCTTGATGGAGGAGAAGGCTAAGCTGCTAGGGGAGGGATAGCAAACCCTGTCACTCCAGGGCACAGAGAAGACCCCTACAGCCGGAGGAAGGGAGGAGTCCAGCTACCAGGGGAGAGGTGGGAAACATCCTCTGCACAATCCCCACTAAAGGTACAAGGCATCTGGCACAGCTTGGCTGCCCCAGGAAAAATGCCCTGATCAGGTGCACTCCTGAGACACAGAAACACTAAGACAAGACAGCAGAGACCCTGCTGCGCCCACTCCCACCAGACTACCAAGCAAATGACAGACAACAGCACTCTTTATTTTGAGATGGAGTTTCACTCTTGTAGTCCAGGTTCGAAGGCAATGGCACGATCTCGGCTCACTGCAACCTCTAACTCCCGGGTTCAAGCGATTCTCCTGCCTCAGCCTCCCGAGTAGCTGGGATTACAGATGCCTGCCACCACACCCGGCGAATTTTTGTATTTTTAGTAGAGAAGGGTTTCACCATACTGGCCAAGCTGGTCTTGAAATCCTGACCTCAGGTGATTCGCCAGCCTTGGCCTCCCAAAGTAATGAATTACAGGTGTGAGCCACTGTGCCTGGCCAACAACAGCACTCTCTAAATGAGATCTTTGACAAAACCTACAACTTTCAATCTCTAAGAGACACCTCTGGGCGGGCGCGCGCGGTGGCTCATGCTTGTAATCCTAGCACTTTGGGAGGCTGAGGTGGGTGGATCATCTGAGGTCAGGAGTTCGAAACCAGCCTGGCCAATATGGTGAAACCCAGTCTCTACTAAAAATACAAAAATTCGCCAGGTGTGGTGGCACACGCTTGTAATCCCAGCTACTTGGGAGGCTGAGGCAGGAGAATCACTTAAACCCAGGAGGCGGAGGTTGCAGTGAGCTGGGATCGCACCACTGCACTCCAGCCTAGCGACAGAGAGAGACACCTCTAAAAAAGCCAGCCACAAACTGGAGCAAAATATCTGAAACACACATAGCAGGAAAAGGTGTTATATCTACAATATATAAATAACTCCTTACAATTGTATAAAAATAATTTAAAGGTCACCAAAAAATGGGCAAAATTTTTGTACCAACATTTCACCAAAGAATAGATACAAATAGTAAGCACATAAGATGCTTAACATCTGTAGTCACTGTGGTTGGCAAACCTTTAGAATGGCTAAAATTAAACGACGATGCCAAGTGCTGGTGAGGATGTGAAGCAACTGACATTCTCATCTATAGCTGGTAGGAATGTGAAATGGTACAAGCACTTTGGAAAACAATTTTGCAGTTTCTTAGAAAGTTAAAATATATCATAAGATCCGGCAATCCCACCAGGCAGTTTCTCAAGAGAAATGATCCGTACCCAAATCTTTTTAGCATTTTTATGTATAACAGCCAAAGGCTGAAATAACTTGAATGTTCATAAACTGGTGAATGGGGCCGGGTGCGGTGGCTCACTCCTATAATCCCAGCACTTTGGCAGTCCGAGGTGGGCAGATCACCTGAGGTCAGGAGTTTTAGACCAGCCTGGCCAACATAGCAAAACCTCATCTCAACTAAAAGTATGAAAAAAGTAGCCAGGCATGGTGGATATGTGTCTGTAATCCCAGCTGCTCGGGAGGCTGAGGCATGAAAATCACTTGAACCTGGGAGGTGGAGGTTGCAGTTAGCCAAGATGGTGCCACTCACTCCAGCCTGGGCGACAGAGCAAGACTCCATCACAATACAATACGATACATCACAATAAATACAATACAACACAACACAATAAACAGGTGAATAGATAAACAAATGGTACTGTCATACAATGGAATACTACTGAGCAATAAAAACGAATTAATTACCAATGCATTGCAATAATAAGAACAAATCTCAGACGGGCACGGTGGCTCAAGCCTATAATTGCAACACTTTGGGAGGCAAAGGCAGGAGAGCTGCTTGAGCTCAGGAGTTCAGGACCAGTCTGGGCAACAGTGACACCTTGGCTCTACTAAAAACTTTAAAAAATCAGCCGGGTGTGGTGGTGAGCACCTGTAGTCCCAGGTATTTAGGAGGCTGAGGCAGGAGGACTGCTTGAGCCCAGGTGATCAAGGCTGCCGTGAGCCATAATCTGCCACTGGACTCTAGCCTGGGCAACAGCACAAGACACTGTTCCCCTCCACCAACCCTCCCCCACAGAAAAACAAACCTCAAAATCATTATGCCGAGCAAGTTAGACGAGAGTACACCCTGTATGATGACTCTACTTACATAAAATTCTGGAAAAGGCAAACTAACACATAGAGACAGAAAGCAAGTGAGTGGCTACCTGAGGACAGAGGTGGAGGGACATATTGTAGAGGGTTAGGAAGAAACTCAGGGAGATAAAGCGTTCAGTATTGGGACTATGGCAGTGATTTCAAGACTGCCTACATATGTTAAAATCATAAAACTGTACATGTCATATATGTGTAGTTTACTGGAAGTAGTCTTAATAAACCAAAAAGAAAAAAAAAAAGTTTTAAACATTTTGGCTATAAGAAAAAGGAAAAAAGTTTTACATGGCAAAATTTCCCATAAGCCAAGTCAAAAAGCCAACGAGCTGGGGTGTGGTGGTGTGCACCTGTAGTCCCAGCTACTCGGGAGGCTGAGGCAGAATGATTACTTGAGCAAAGGGAATTCCACGCTATAGTGGACTATGATTGAGTCACTGCACTCCTGCTGGAGAACAAAGCAAGACTCTATCTCCTAAAAATAAAAAAAAGGGCCGGGCACAGTGGCTCATGCCTGTAATCCCAGCACTTCCGGAGGCTGAGGGGGGGCAGATAACCTGAGGTTGCGAGTTCGCGACCAGCCTGACCAACATAGGGAAGCCCCGTCTCTACTAAAAATACAGAATTAGCCAGGCGTAGTGGCACATGCCTGTAATCCCAGCTACTCAGGAGGCTGAAGCAGGAGAATCACTTGAACCAGGGAACCAGAGGTTGCAGTGAGCTGAGATCGTACCATTGCACTTCAGCCTGGGCAACAAAAGCAAAACTCCGTCTCAAAAAATAAATTAAATAAATAAATAGCAAATGACAAATAGAGAAAAAATATTTACAATTCATGTCACAAAAGGCTGATTTCATGAACATCCCACAGATCAGTAAGATTAGTAATGCAAATAAAACAAAGCACAAATGACTCTTAAATTACATGACAAGATGCTCACTCATAAGAGAAATTCAAATTAGAAATACCACACTCAACTATCAGGTTTCCAACAACCACAAAGCTCAAAAACGTACTTTTTTTTTTGAGATAGGGTCTCACTCTGTCATCCAGGCTGGAGGGTAGTAGTGCAATCATGGTTCACTGCAGCCTCCACCCTCTGGGCTCAAGTGATCCTCCCACCTCAGCCCCCAGAGTAGCTGGACTACAGGCGTGCACCACCTTGCCCACCTAATTTTTGTATTTATTTGTAGAGATGGGGTCTCGCCATGTTGCCCAGGCTGGTCTCAAACTCCTAGGCTCAAGCAATCCACCCACCTCAGCATCCCAAAGGTGCTGGGATTACAGGCACGAGCCATCTTCCCTGGCCAACATACCGTTTTTGTAAAGTAAGAAACGTTACTGTTGGTAAAGATGTGGGAACATAAATAGGTTGCAATCTCTACGAGACAGCAGTCAAAATTATGAATGCAAATGCCCTTCTGACTGAGCAATGCCACTGCTAGAAGTTTATCCTACATATAAGTTAGCTCATGTACAAAATTACCTGAGTACAAGGTCACTCATTTACTCCGACATTATCTGTTTTGTTTTGAGAGAGCGGGTCTTGCTTGTTGCTCAGGCTACAGTGCAGTGGTGTGATCACAGTTCACTGCAGCCTCAAGCTCCTGGGCTCAAGTCATCATCCCACGTCAGCTTCCTAAGTAGCTGGGACTACAGAGTCGTGCCTCCATGACCAGCTAAAATATTACAGCAAGGTTATTTATTTTACTTTATTTTTTGAAGATAGGGTCTCACTCTGTCACCCAGGCTGGAGTGCCAGTGGCGCAATCACAGCTCCACCTCCTGGGCTCAGGTATTCCTTCATCTGATTCCCAAGTAGCTGGGACTACAGTGCACAGCATCATGCCCAGTTAATTTTTTGTAGAGATGGGGTTTTGCCATTTTGCCCAGGGAGGTGCTGGGCTCAAGTGATCTGCCTGCCTTGGCCTCTAACAGTGCTGAGATTACAGGCATGAGCCACCGCACCCGGCCTCTAGCATTATTTGTAATGGCCATGAGACTGGGAAAAATCTTTACGTCCATCAGTGGGAGATTTGATAAAATAAATTAAGGTACACCTACAGAATACTCTAAGAAAAAGGGCGTTTTTAAAAAATGCTATAAAAATAATCACTTTCACACCAATATAAACAGATCTCCAAGTTGTACCAAGTAGAAAAAGGGAAAGTGTGGAGTAGTGTATATGTTGAATACCAGTGAGTTAAAATGTTTTATGTGGAAAGAAGAACATGTATGCGTATCAGTTTTTAAATGCTAAGATATCTGTAGAAGCTTACATAAGAAACTAAAAACACTTGCCTAGGGTAGGGAATTGGTTGACTAGAGAAAAGGTATATAATTAAATTTTTTTTATTTATTTACTTTGAGACAGAGTCTCGCTCTGTTGCCAAGGGTGGAGTGCAATGGCACAATCTGGGCTCACTGCAACCTTCGTCTCCTGGATTCAAGTAATTCTCTTGCCTCAGCCTCCCAAGTAGCTGGGACTACAGGCATAAGCCACCACACCCTGGTAATTTTTCTATTTTTAGTAGGGACAGTGTTTTGCCATGTTGGCTAGGCTGGTCTCAAACTCCTGGCCTCACGTGATCCGCCCACCTCGGCCTCCCAAAGTGCTGGGATTACAGTTGTGAGCCACCACATCCAGCCATCATTACATTTAGAATTAAAAACAACAACAAAAAGGCAGTGGCTCATGCTCGTAATCCCACTGCTTTAGAAGGCTGAGGCAGAAGGATTGCTTGAAGCCAGGGGTTCAAGACTAGCCTGAAAAACATAGTGAGACTCTGTGTCATAAAATAAAATAATAAAATAAAATAAAATAAATAAAATAAATTAAATTAAATAAAAATTAAAATTAAAATTAAATAAAACAAATAAATAAAATAAAATAAAATAGCCAGGGTGGTGCGCACATCTGTAGTCCCAGCTACTGGGGATGCTGAGATGGGAGCATCACTTGAGCCCAAAAGTTTAAGGCTGCAGTGAGTCAAGATCTTGCCACTGCACTCCAGTCTGGGTGACAGAGCAAGAGCTTGTATGTTAAAACAAAACAAAACAAAACAAAACAAACAACAATGAGATGGGGCTGGAGGAGAAGCTGACGGTATGGTGTGAAAATTCCAATTTTCTAACATATCCCGCTAAACTCCTTAGTAGTACTTGTACATACACCTATCAGAACCTCTGTTTCTGTTCAAATTTAGGCTCCTGGGTTTCAACCTCATACAGAAATAAAAGTATGACTCAAAAAGAAGGGTTGTATCTTACTAAAGCTTTTAGTACCCACAGCACTGAACAATGCCTGGTATCTAGCAGGATCTGCATCTTTGGTTACCTCCGCAAACACTGTGGGAACCTATACATTCATCAAATCTTAACTATACACCTGGCGCTGTGATGGTTATGAGGAAAAACTGGCAAAGACCTGGTTGGCGAAATAACTCCAGATGAAGACTGAACATTGAAATGGAGTCACCAAGATGTCCAAAGGGACTGTTGTCATACAAAAGTTTGATAGAACAGGATTCCCAGAAATGTTTCTAAAGTACATTATATTTTATCTAATATAAAGAAATCTCTGATCATAAACTTCATCATTTCACGTACCATTAATACAGAAAAACACCCAAGATATGAGACTAATAGGAAACCAGCATAAAGCTGAAGGTAAGTGAAAAATAAGCCTTCCACATGGAAGGGCGAACAAGGAGACTTGTATGTTTCATTCTTGGCACTGAGTGGGAAACAAAAAATCCCGAGCACTGGAAACAAGCCATTACCAGGATGGTCCAAAACCCTCAGACAGAGAATGTCAAGTGGTCACCGGCCGGCAGTATACCCAGGTGACCAGCACAAGCAAACATGAATTCTCTCCGGAAAAACACAGGAAATAAGGCATTTGTAATCCGTATGAGAAAATTCAGGAATGAAGCTTTACAGTCGCTTCCAAACACTAAAAACATTCGTAAAATTTCCATGGCTCAATTTCCAGTAATATTTTCTACGACTCTATAATTTACATTATGGCTTAAAGAAAAACGTGACAAATTTAAAGGCTCTAAAATACAGAAGCAAATAGTCAAGCATGCTCTATTATCCAACTATATTAATAAAATATATGAAACTGTTAAGAAATGGTCTCACTTTTTAGCCACAAAGGAAGAAAGTTTAAGGTGATTCCCTTCCTCTAATTATAGACTTACTTTATTGCTGCCAGCTTTTTGGATAGAGTTCCCTCTGCTGGAATCTTTTAAGAGAAAGAAAAAGTATTAAAGACAGTATTTGAAATATTACCTCAAATTAATATTTTAAGTGAAGTCTAAATATCCAACTCCAGTACACTGTGATCAAAAACATTCCAGGGAAATAAATCAAAAACAACCATCCTACTGTATTTCTTTTTTTCTGTTTTTTTGAGACGGAGTCTCACACTGTCACTCAGACTGGAGTGCAATGGCACGATCTCGGCTCACTGCAAGTTCTGCCTCCCGAGTTCACACCATTCTCCTGCCTCACCCTCCCGAGTAGCTGGGACTACAGGTGCCCACCACCACGCCCGGCTAATTTTTTGTATTTTTAGTAGAGATGGGCTTTCACCATGTTAGCCAGGATAGTCTCGATCTCCTGACCTCATGATCCGCCCGCCTCAGCCTCCCAAAGTGCTAGGATTACAAGCATGCGTCACTGTGCCTGGCCAATCATCCTAATGCTATATGAAATGAAGCTTGTGGCTTAGGATAAGCTTTTCCAACGAAACCATCATGCTCAGATTTAAAAGGCTCAAAAACCCAGACAGAAGTTAAGATTCTGGGCTCTCAACTTGCATCAGATGACTCCAACAGAGAGGACACCAGGAAGAGACACCGACGATGAAAGACACATGAAAAATGTAAGGAAAAGGCCGGGTACGGTGGCTCATGCTTGTAATCCCAGCACTTTGGGAGGCCGAGGCGGGTGGATCATGAGGTCAGGAGATTGAGACCATCCTGGCTAACACGGTGAAATCCCATCTCTACTAAAAATACAAAAAATTAGCCGGGAGAGGTGGCGGGCGCCTGTAGTTCCAGCTACTCAGGAGGCTGAGGCAGAAGAATGGCGTGAACCCGGGAGGCGGAGCTTGCAGTGAGCCGAGATTGTGCCACTGCACTCCAGCCTAGGCGACAGAGCAAGACTCTGTCTCGAAAAAAAAAAAAGAAAGAAAAATGTTAAGGAAAAAGAAAGGTTTATAAAGTAACATTTTATCGTGTATTCTGATTTTTAAATATGTCTAACTAAACTGATGAATAACATAAAAAGACATATCACCTGTATCTCTAAGAGTTTATATATTTTAACAGGCAAAAAAATGCATGGTGTCTTTCATTGTGCAGGGATGGGAATCCCCTTTATATTCAGGTTCACTTTATTTTCAGTCACATATAGTCTCCTTAAGAGTGGATGGGGTAGGTAAGGAAAACTTCACGGAAGAGGCAGAAATACACGTCAACAACTACAGCTGTCGACCACATGCCAAATGCAACCAGGTACTGAGAAGATCAAGGTGAAAAGATACCAATCCTGCAAGTTCACAATCTAGGAGCATGTAGAACGTAAATGCCATGTAGGGCAGTTATTATAAATCTTTTCTGGAAAACCTATTTTCTTTCTCAGTAACCTGATAGTTTACATAGTAAAACCAAGAAATTTTAACTATTTCTTCTATTTGCAGTTTATCTTGCTAAAACTGCTAATATAGTCAAACTCTCAAACCTCAAAAAAACAGTCAAGATGTAGAAATGTCTAAATGAATAATCAACATGTGAATGACATCATCAAAACACATTTATTGGGTGCCTTCTGTACAGGGTCTATATCCCATTATTTGTTTGGTTTTGTATTTTTTTGTTTGTGTTTGAAACAGAATCTCACTTTGTCGCCCAGGCTGGAGTGCAGTGGCACAATCTTGGCTCACTGTAACCTCCGCCTCCCAGGTTCAAGCGATTCTCCCACCTCAGGCTCCCAAATGTCTGGGATTACAGGCCCCCACCACCATGCCCGGCTAGTTTTTGTATTTTTAGTAGAAACGGGGTTTTGCCATGTTGGCCAGGCTGGTCTCGAACTTCTGAACTCAAGTGATCTGCCTTGGCCTCCCAAAATGCTGGGTTACAGGCATCAGCCACTGCACCCGGCCTACACCTGCCATTGAAGATATTAATAAATAAGTATAACATAAGGCAATAAAGTACAAGAATAATGCGGAGGAAAAAACATCATTTAATGATATAAAGTATCAGAAAAGCTTTGAAGAAGGGACATTTTAGCCTCATACTGAAAAATACTTTCATAGGCAAAAAAGGTACCTTAAGGAAGGATTCCAGGCAAAACAAATAGACCAGCAAAGGGACAAAGGAGAGAAAACCCATGTGTAGAGGAACACAGGATGGGCGGGGCCACACTGGAGAACTGTGAGGCTAAGAATTCAGGATGTATTTCACTGACAGTGAGAATAATTAACACAATGTACAGGGGCTGGTAACTCAACAAGAAGAAAGACAAACAAGAGTATTTGTAATCATAGCTTACAGTCTGGTGGAGGCGGCAAATAACAATTTCAGTAGAGTGTACTAAGTACTACAATAAGGGATAGGTGCAGTAAAATGCATAGCAGGGACACACTGGTAGCCTAGAGACTGGGGAGAATCAAGGCAGGCTCCCCAAAGGGTTAGAAGGCAACAGCAGGCCCAGTGAGGGGTGTGTGTGTGGCGGCTGGTGGGGGACGGGGAGGGGGCCGGGGGGAAGGGCGTTTCATTAATGCAAGGCAGGGAGAGCAGCAAGGGTTCCGGGAAGAAGAGCTTCAGGAAGACTGAGTTGACAGTGTTTTGTTGGACAAATTAGAGGAAGACTGAAGGTAGGAACTATAATAGGCCTCTCCAACTATTCTGACAGGAGGGAATGATAACTTAGGTAGGACAAGGGAAAAAGAAAGGAATGACTCATATTAGGAAGAAATCACAGTTGAAAAACGGACAGGAATGGCAAACACTAGCATGGGTGAGCCAATGCAGAGTCAAAGGCAACCACAAAACCTGCAGCCTGGCTGCCACTAAATACCACAGAAAAATCAGTAGGCAGCATAGGGTTGGGGTGAGAATGGATGGAAGTAAGCAGATATACTGAAATCAGGGTATGACAAGACACCCACAAACAATGCATTAGCCAAAGGTCTACTACGGGGAAATGGAACTCAGAAGGGCAGACAAAAGATATGTGATGAGAGTGGGAAACAGATACCCTGACAGAAATTATGGGCACTGCCAAAACTTTGGGTAATGTCTACTTCTATAGAAGTGGGCAGTTGTGCCTCCTCTAACATTTGACAATTCCTGAAGATATTTTCCATTGTTACACTGAGGTGCAGGGGGCGCTACCAGCATCTAGTGGGTAAAGACCATGTATGTTACTAAACATCCTATAATACAAAGGGCAGCCTCCAACAACAAAGAATTATCCACTCCAAAATGTCAACTGTATGGAGGTTGAGAAACTCTAATCACATGAGAAAGAGCAATTAGAAACATGAAAAAGGCTGGGCACAGGGGCTCATGCCTGTAATCCCAGCACTTTGGGAGGATGAGGAAGGCAAATTACCTGAGGTCAGGAGTTTGAGACCAGCCTGGATAACATGGTGAAACCCTGTCTCGACTAAAAACACAAAAATTAGCCGGGCGTGGTAGCCCACGCCTGTAATCCCAGATACCTGGGAGGCTGACGCATGAGAACTACTTGAACCCAGGAGGCGAAGGGTGCAGTGAGCTGAGATCCCACCACTGAACTTCAGCCTGGGTGACACAGAGTAAGACTCTGTCTCAAAAAAACAAACAAACAAAAAACAAAAACAAAATAAACATTTCCTATATTCTAATATACATTAATTATGCAATAGTGTCCAAAAACGTACACTATGGTACGTCAACTATGCCTATGCAGTTAAAAAAAAAAATCATGTATGGGAAAACCAAATATAAATGATACTTATTTCCTGCTCTAAAGAATGTGGCTATAACTGGTCCAGAATGCTGAGCTGGTAAAATCCAGCTCACTTCTATAAAAAGTTTTAATATTAAATTGACTTAAACACTTGATCTGTCAGAGAACAAGGACTGTTTGCAGCAATCACACCCACCTCCCATACTAAATGCATATGATGAGACATAAGAAGAGAATGCCTAGGATTCCAGCAACGATAACCAGTATTAACTTTTCAGCCTATTCTGTTGACACAGTAAATAACTCACCCATTCACCCTACAAAGTATATTGCAGGTTTTCATAGCAAGAGTATCATTTTATTAAGTAAACTCACTACATTATTTAAAAAGTTCAAGAGTCAGCAGTAGATAATAAGAGCAACTCTTTTCTTGGGTTAAATTTGAACCTATTGATTCAAAAGGTTAAAGTGCTCCACCATCTCACTAATAGCAAGAAGTTAATCTGATTTAAATGCAACACATTTTAGTATTATGTAATTTTATGGGGGAATGAAACATACCAGAGAACGAAATCGTACAGATTCTATTTGTCCATACTCTTTAAAAAACGATTTCAGCTTCTAAAATGAAAAAAAACACATACACATTAGCTCACCCTCAGAATATCAAATAAGTGCTATAAAAGGGAATTAAGAAAAATTGTCCGATAATCCTTACTGCCAGGTATTTTTTTTTTTTTTTTGAGACAGAGCCTTGCACTTTCACCCAGGCTGCAGTGCAGTGGTATGATCTCGGCTCACTGCAACCTCCGCCCCCACAGCTTCAAGTGATTCTCCTGCCTCAGCCTCCCAAGTAGCTGGGATTACAGGCGCCCGCCATCATGCTCAACTAATTTTTGTATTTTTAGTAGAGACGGGGTTTCGCCATGTTGGCCAGTTTGGTCTCGAACTCCTGACCTCAAGTAATCCAACCACCTCAGCCTCCCGAAGTGCTGGGATTACAGGCATGAGCCACCACACCCGGCCTACTGCCAGGTTTTAAGAACATTTCAGGAAAAGTAGGTGACTATTCAGTTGGATGAACAAAAAAATTTTACTGAAACTTGTGAGATTCTGTCTCAAAAAAAAAACCAAAAACATAATTCAAGCTCCTATTAGTATCCCTTGGATGAATAATGCTTTTCTTTCAATCTTTTATAACCTTTATCGCATGTAAATTAAGGATAGACTTATACTCTCCATAGATTCTCTCATGTTTTCACATTGGTTTAAACCAGGAATAAACTTTTTTTTTGAGATGGAGTCTCACTCTGTTACACAGGCTGGAGTACAGTGGCACACTCTTGGCTTCTGCAACCTCCCTATCCCGGGTTCAAGCAATTCTCCTTCCTCAGTCTCCAAATAGCTGTGATTACAGGCATGTGTCACCACATCCAGCTAATTTTTTGAACTTTTAGTAGAGAAGGGTTTCACCATGTTGGCCAGGCTGGTCTGGAACTCCCGACCTCTGGGGATCCGCCCGCCTTGGCCTTCCAGAGTGCTGGGATTACAGGTGTGGGACACCACGCCTGGTCTCAAAAAGGTTTTTCTACTGTTTTTAATGAAGTAGAGTTTAAATTGTCCTTCAAAATATGAGCAGGATGCTGATATGAGCAGGATTGCAACAGTTACTATCACATGAACATGCAGAAACAAAGGGCAGGTTTTGCTTCAGCGATCCTCACACAATGGAAGAAACGCAGGACATCGTCATTCTTTAAACAACACATATTTACTATGCACAAGGCACCATTTCAGGTGTCAAGAGACAGAATGAGGCTGAGCACGGTGGCTCACGCCTATAATCCCAGCACTTTGGGAGGCCGAGGCAGGCGGATCATGAGGTCAGGAGATCGAGACTATACTGGCTAGCATAGTGAAACCCCGTCTCCACTAAAAATACAAAAAATTAGCCAGGCGTGGTGGCAGGCACCTGTAGTCCCAGCTACTCAGGAGGCTGAGGCAGGAGAAGGGTGTGAACCCAGGAGTCGGAGCTTGCAGTAAGTTGAGATCACGCCACTGCACTCCAGCCTGCGAGACAGAGCGAGACTGTCTCAAAAAAAAAAAAAAAAAAGAGAGACAGAATGATGAAGAAAGAGGATCAGGCCCAGTGGCTCATGCCTGAAGTCCCAGCACCTTGGGAGGTTAAGGAGGACAGATCGCTTGAGCCCAGGAGTTTGAGACCAGCCTGGGCAACATAGCGAGAACCTGTCTCCACAAAAACAAAAAGTAGCCACGGCCACAAAAACAAAAAGTAGCCAGACGTGGTGGCATGCACCTGTAGTCCCAGCTTCTCAGGAGGCTGAGGCAGTAATATCACTTGAGTTCAGGAGTTTGAGGCTGCAGTGAGCAATGATCATGCCACTGCACTCCAGCCTAGGTGACAGTGACAACCTGTCTTGAAAAAGAAAAGAAAAAAGAAAAACATCTTTAAACACATGGAGCTTATATTCTAGTGGCACGTAACAGGAGACAAGGCTGAAAGAAAGAAACCAGGCAGGATGTCACTGCAGTATTCAAATATAATCTGCAAAAGCCTGAATTAGGGCAGGGACTGCAGGAATGAAAAGGAGGGGGTGGATATTGAAATCCATTTATATTAGGATGATTTATGTAATAATTTACAATGAAGTTATATCCATGACTTATTATTCAATGCTTATTCAACACAGGAAGAACAAAGTTATTAACTTCTCTGAAATTTTACTATATACAAACTTACCTTCTTATTACACGTAACAGGCAAATTCCCAACAAATACAGTTCTCTCGTTCTTTAATCTCTCTTCTTCTTCGTTGATTTGAATTTTCTTTCTTTGACAGACAACTGTGTCATCTACATCATCAAGTATTTTTCTATCTGCTACTTTAACACCAGGTTGAGAATTTTTCCTTTTCTGCCCTTGTTTCTGGTGAATTTCTTCTTCTAAATCAGCACTCGCTAGAGCACTTTCCCTTTTTAAGGCAAAAAATAAAACAAAATAAGCAGTAAGAGTCATACCAGGTAGATTTAGTATTTGACAAAGCACAGCCCTACCTTCTCAATTAGAAATATTTTCCAATGTCTTCTGAATTTTCCTAGATTTACCACTTACAAATATATCAAAATTTTTAAAGCAGCTTTATCTAGAAACTGACCAGTATCTTTAGAAAAAAAATGATTTAACTCAAGAGTTAGAAAAAGTTAAGCTCTTTTTTTTTTTTTTTTTTGGAGACAGGGTCTCGCTCTGTCACCCAGGCTGGAATGTAGCAGCGTAATCACAGCTCACTGCAGCCTCGACCTCCCAGGCTCAGGCAATCCTCCCACCTCAGCATTCCAAGTAACTGGGACCACAGGCGCATGCCACCACACCTGGCTACATTTTTTTTTTTTTTTTTTGAGATGGAGTTTTGCTCTGTCACCCAGGCTGGAATGCAATAGTGCAATTTTGGCTCACTGCAACCTCTGCCTCTCGGGTTCAAGTGATTCTCCTGCCTCAGCCTCCCAAGTAGCTGGGATTACAGGTGCCCGCCATCACGCCCAGCTAATTTTTTTATTTTTAGTAGAGACAGGGTTTCATCATGTTGGCCAGGCTGGTCTTGAACTTCTGACCTCAAGTGATCTGCCCACCTCAGCCTCCCAAAGTGCTGGGACTAAAGGTGTGAGCCTTTTATACATATACACAAATACATATACACATATTTCTGAGACAGAGTCTAGCTCTGTCACCCAGACTGGAGTATAGTGGTGCAATCTCAGCTCACTGCAACCTCTGCCTCCCTGGTTCACAACAATTCTCCTCAGCCTCCCAAGTAGCTGGGATTATAGGCGCCCGCCACCACGCCCAGCTAATTTTTTTTTAAGTAGAGACGGGTTTCGCTGTGTTGGCCAGGTTGGTCTCAAACTCCTGACCTCTGGATCCGCGTGCCTCAGCCTCCCAAAGTGCTGTGATTACAGGGATGAGCTACCACGCCCGGTTTCCTTTTATATTTCTTTTGTAGAGACAGGGTTTTGCTATGTTGCCCAGGCTGGTCTTGAACTCCTGAGCTCAGGCCATTCGCCCACCTCAGCCTCCCAAAGTGCTAGGGTTACAGGCATGAACCACTGCAGGCAAGAATAAGTGAAGCTCAATTTTTGAACACGTTAAATCTGCCAGGCAACAGCAGCAGCAAGTTCATCTAAACAGAAGCTGATTCACTTAAAGCTCTTGGAGATTTAGTTTACACTCTATCAATGCCTAATTTCATTTTCTACTCTAGACCTTTAGGGGCACTATCACACTCCCTGAGACTCTAAAAAGGTTAATATGGCAGCAGAGTACTTACTCTGTACAAGCAACATGGCCAATAGGAAAAACCAGATTCCCTACTTCTCATACTTCTGTAATATTTAAAGGACTCTTACCAAAAGTAAATTGTGAAATGGTAAATACAATATAAAGTATTGCTGGATATGGATAAGCAAGGTCTGAGCATCAATCTGAAAGGAGAACTAAAGGATATTAAGGAGTGAGGGAAGAGAAGAGCCAGTAAGAATCATAAAAATGACTCACTTATCAGCAAATACTTACCAGGTTCCTACTCAGTTCTAGGCTCTGAGGATACAAAGATAAAGAAACAATCAAAGGCCTCCAGTAGTCTAGTGAAAAGACAGACCAAGTTCACAATAAAATGGTAACAGCTATGATACATGGTATGCACACAAAAACAAGAAAGGCTTCTCAGAAGAGGAAATCAGTGTCTGGCTGTCATTACTCCTCCCTTGAGGACAGGGTCCATGTCTAGTGTTTTGCTCGCTACAGTATATAAAGTGCCTAGCAGGAGTGAAAGGAAATGAGACAGTACAGTGAGGTGGGAACTAGGTCAGGAGGGACCTTCAGTGTTGCACAAAAGTGCTTAGATTTTATCCTATTGAAGATGAGGAGACACTGAAGACTGAGAGCATCTAAAAAAGATCATTTGGGCAGAAGAGTGGAAGGTAATTAGAAAGGGGATAAGGTTGGAGAAGGGAGACTAGTAAGGATATGGTTACAACAGTAACTGACCAGAGCAGGGAAGGAGGTGAAGAGGAAAAGGCAGATTAAAGAGATAATTAAAAAACAGCATCATCAGGACTTGGCAACTGATTAGCTAAGCAAGGAGAGGAAAGAAGACAGGATGACTCTCAGGCCACTAACTTAGGCAACTAGAAGACTAGTGGTAGCACTCATGCCAAGGAACAGGTCTGATGAGAATGATGAGCTCCCAGTGGAGCATTCTTACCTGGAGGTACATAGGGAAAAAGAGGTGCAAATGCCAGGAGGCAAACAAACATACATGTCTGGAGATCAGGAGAGAGATCACGCTGGGCACAAGAGATACTGCCCCCAACAAAGGGTGACAAAGGGTCACAAGAACATGACCAAGAATGAGACCCCTGAGGGAAATGCACATTTAAAGAGTAGTCAGAGGAAAAGATAGCACAATAACCCCAAGAAAGAATTGGCCAAGAGGACAATCAGAAGAGATTTCTCTCACAGAATCCAGCAGCTTCAACAAGAAAAGCAGCTACGTGAAGGGTAACAGAGGACTCATAAGACAAAAGCTGCACTGCCCATTACATATGTCAGAGAGGTCAGGGTGGCCTCAGTGAGCACAGCTTCAGTGGCACAGTCAGGACACAGAATAAAACCCGCCACCATCAGAATGCAAGTGCGTGGAAGGGTGAACAGAGTCAAGAAAAGAGAGAAAGTAAAAGAACAGACTACTTTTCCTAAAAGCTAGACTGAAGGGAAGGACTGTGGGAATGGCAGCAAACAGAGACATGCAATTATAAGGGTTTTTTTTTTTTGGTGGTTGGGGGGAATGTCCTTTTTAAAGATTAGAATCTTGACCACATCTATATAGTAGAAAGAGGGATAAGGGCCGGGCCGGGCATGGTGGCTCACGCCTGTAATCCCAGCACTTTGGGAGGCTGAGGCTGGGGGATCACCTGAGGTCAGGAGTTCGAGGCCAGCCTGGTCAACATGTGAAACCCCATCTCTACTGAAAAACCACAAAAATTAGCTGGGTGTGGTGGTGGGTGCCTATAATCCCAGCTACTCAGGAGGCTGAGGCAGGAGAATCGCTTGAACCTGGAGGCAGAGGTTGCAATGAGCCAAAATTGCACTATGCTCTCCAGCCTGGGCGACAACAGCGAAACTCCATCTCAAAACAAAAACAACAACAAAAAAAAGAGTGACAAGGGAAAGAGGGGAATGTGGATGGATCTGACGGCACAGTCCCTAAAAAGGCAGAAGAACATACACGGTACACACAGCAACCAGGTGGTTGAGTTAATATTGGACAAGAGAGAAGACACCTAAGAAAGAGGGGAAGAAATAAGGCTGTGTACAGATACATTAAGTTTAAATAGGAGGACAAAAATAGCAGTTCCCAACTGTTAGTGATTAATAGCTCCAGAACTGGTAAAAAGGTCTTCAGTTGAAAGGAGAAAAGGGAAAAGGAAATAAGGGGTTTGAGGAGAGTGACAAAGAAGAGAGGAATGAAGACTGTTACCTAGGTACATGTGATGGGATCACTATTTGGATCATGATTCAAATACACTGTTAAACAACGTTATGCTGGCCGGGCATGGTGGGTCATGCCTGTAATCCTAGCACTTTGGGAGGCGGAGGTAGGAGGATGGTTTGATCCCAGGAGTTCAGGACTAGCCTGGGTAACACAGCGAGACCCTGTCTCTATTTTTCTAACTAAAAAAAAAAAAAAAAAAAAAGCTGCCTGGATCACTTGAGTCCAGGAGTTTGCAACCAGCCTGGGCGACATGACAAAATCCTGTCTCTACAAAAAATACAAAAATTAGCTGGGCATGGTGGTGCATGCCTACAGTCTAAGCGACTCAGGAGGCTGAGGTGGGCGGCTGGATTGAGTCTACGAGGCAGAGGTTGCAGTGAGCGACAATCGCACCACTGCACTCCAACCTGGGTGACAGAGCCAGACCTTGTCTCAAAAAAAAAAAAAAATGTTAATGAGGGTAAAGAATAAATTTAAGAACACCAAACGTGTTCTTAAATTACATACTTGTGCGGTGGCTCACGTATGTAATCCCAGCACCTTGGGAGGCTGAGGCAGGTGGATCATGAGGTCAAGAGTTCGAGACCAGACTGGTCAATATGGTGACACCCCGTCTCTAGTAAGAATACAAAAATTAGCTGGGTGTGGTGGCGCACGCCCATAGTCCCAGCTGCTCAGGAGGCTGAGGCAGAAGAATCACTTGAACCCGGGAGGCAGTGGTTGCAGTGAGCCGAGATTGCACCACTGCACTCCAGCCTGGGTGACAGAGTGAGACTCCATCTCAAAAACAAAACAAAACAAAACAAAACAAAACCAACCAGACAACAGTAAACCAGGCCGCGCAGTGGCTCATGCCTGTAATCCCTGCATTTTGGGAGGCCAAGACAGGTGGATCACCTGAGGTCAGGAGTTCAAGACCAACCTGGCCAACATGATGAAACTCTGTCTCTCCTAAAAATACAAAAAAAATTAACCGGGCAGGGTGGCGCTTGTAATCCCAGATCCTCAGGAGACCTGAAGCAGGAGAATCACTTAAATCCGGGAGGCCGAGGTTGCAGTGAGCTGAGATCAGGTCACTGCACTCCAGCCTGAGCAAAAAGAGCAAAACTCTGTCTCAAAAAAAAAAAA